GAGGAGGAGGAGGAGGAACAAACTTACCGTAGCCCACGTGGAGAAAACATGAAATGAGCCTCTGTACTGGCAAAGGTATAAATCGGCTGGACTGTGTGACAGAGCACATCCTTGCTTTTAAGGCTGCTCGTTTAGAAGCATGGCACATTCATATTTTTATTTGCGAGAAAGCCTTCAGTGGCAACATGGAGGGTGAAATGTAAGGCAAGTGTGAAGCCCCACCAGTGTGAAGATGAACACTCAGGACAGCTATCAGCAGCTGTACTGGTGTCTCCATAACAGGGACAACCAGGGAGGAGCAAGCAACCATATTGTGTCTGAAGTCAAACTAGTGGTCCCTGGCTATTGAATGGGCCTGGGATTTACAGTGAGATTAGATTCCGTAATGGATTAGGCTGATCAGCTTGGATTACTGGTCAGATTATGGTAGCTACTCACTGCCGTGATCTGCCTTGATCTGCAAAATCCTTAGGACCAGACTTACATGCATGTGTACCTCACAGTTACAGAACAGGACCCAACATGTAGTATCAGCTGTCAGATGAGTTCCATTTGCTCCTCTAATCTCCAGGAAAGGAGTACTTTCTCTCCAGTTTGTCATCCCCTTCTGACAGAAATGATTGAGCTACTTTGCAAATGAAACGTTTTCTCCTAACCAGAGAAAAGCAATAGCTCTTGGTGTTTATAGATAACAGCTGTTGGCATTTGGTGCCAAGTGAAAGCTCAATAAATATTTATCGAGCATCTCTATGTCACACACCGAGTATGAATAAGCTATAACGATTGCTTCCTGGCTGCACAGGAAGCTAGACTAGTAAACAGTGCTCCGATATAGCCTTGTGGAATGTTGAGGGGTAAAGACAGAGAGGGAGAGGGCAGCAAGAAGCAGTGCCACCTCACGGTGTAGTGCAGCTCGGGGACAGACAAGGAGACCCTGGTAGAAAACATCTTTGGGATGGCGGTGACTCACTTTCGGGCAAAATCGAGCATGTGTGTGAGACCATTCCCTGTGATGGCAGAGTCAGGAGCAGGGATGCAAGGAGGACGAGGATGGGGGCAGCAAGACGTGGGGTATCTCAGGAGCATCGATGTGCCCAGAGTGGAAAGGAGGAGCGATAGGAGGGGGAGAGGGAAAGCTCGGTCTGCAATCCAGGTGGTGCTTTCACATCTCAGGAAACACTTTGGCTGTTTAGTGATCTGTGAAGGGTTTTCTTGCTGCTTATGTTTTCCCCTAAAAAAGGCTGATTTATAAATTTACAGATTAGAGGTGGATGTGATCACCCGGCATGTGACTTTTCAGGTACTACTTGGAAAAAGGATCACTGCCATCCGGTGTCTCACATGCTAAGTAGGATAGAGCTGCACCCACCCACGGATCATCTGAAACACACCGCTGGCTTAGGTCCCCAAGCCATCACCATCACCTGAGACCATCAAGATCTCATTGTTCTCATTTAGGAAAACAACCCTGAAAATGACAGAACTGCAAGACGCCAAGTACCATGGCGAAGACATAGGCTTTCATTCCAAAGTGTGAAAAGTCAAAACAGACGTTATATGTAAAAGTACTCTCGAGTTCATGACACAGCAGTGAAATAGGAGCCCTGTTGGTGATTGGGCCGTAGCCATAGTGAGCTTTATAAAGCCTCTGAAAAAAAAATTATTGTATTTTCCCACTGTGCATTTTAGCAAACAGCAAATACGGAATAAAGCGTTGACCTCAACCTTGCTTCCCAAATCTGAGGAGCATTTCAATGGAGAGCTGCCAGGAAAGCATGGATACTGAAATACGCTAAAGTCACTTACTGTGTTGAGTCCCAGGCCGTTCAGCATGTAGATCAGATCCTCGGTGGCCACGTTCCCAGAGGCGCCTTTCGCATAAGGGCAGCCGCCCAATCCCGACACCGCGGAGTCCACCACAGTAATGCCCATCTGGAAAACACACCAAGACACCCAAGGCTTCTCTGCTTTTTACAAGGAAATCATTTCATTGCTACTTAACGTGCGGCAAAGAGCAAGTACACAAAGCCTGGATCTTTTCTCCAAACGTCCTCAGTGGCCCACCTGGTACTGCAACAGTTCTCAGTACTCATTTCTTTTTTCTGACCAGTCTTCTCTCTTAGACTAACAGAAGCCCTGTTAAGGATCTCCAGAAATAGAATAATCTTGCATCAAAATTAATATCTTTTTCTTTTTCTTTTTTTTACAGCAACACAACTCTGTAGGTGGTAGATCCTGAAGTAATTTCACTCCAAGTTACACATATTCTCTCTAATTTCTCAGCTATCTCTTAAAGGCACAGCATAAGTAACATGAAATACCTCCAAAGCCCCAAATCAAAATCAAGGTGCCTTAGAAGGCTGACATTATGGATGAGGTGGGGGCAGGCAGAGTGTAGGGACCGTACTTAAAATATAGCAGCTTGTGTATTCAACTCACCCAGCCTTTACAGAAGCATTATTTTTCACACAAAACTCTGCCCTTTGGAAGAAGTGAAGAGATATTTAGGAAGCAGGACACCAGGTCACATTTGTTTCCCCTCACAAAATCTATGAAGAAGACAGTCCTTATCGCTCACAGAGAAGAAATGGGTATAGAAGAATCAAGCCACTCCCCCAAGCCCTTCATGCTTGAGTGAAGTCCCCTGTCAGTACTGAACTTGCCCTTTGCCTGACTCACAGCCTCTGGAAGCACGCAAGTCAGTGCAGGAAGATGTGGAGGGGGAAGAGGACTGTGTGCTGAATTCAAGAGCACAGCGGTGGGGGAGCTGAGGTCAGGCAGTGGCCACAGGAGAAGAGAGAGGTGAGCACGTCTTCCTGCCCTGAAAGGTGAAAGTGTGATCCTCATAAGCTACCGAAAGACTTCATAGAATTCTTCACTCTCAGGCTTTGAGAGAAGAGTAACATGACCTCACCTAAAACGAGAAGCTCCTGGGGGCAGAACATCACAAATGGCTTTTGTACTCCCAAGGGTCCGGGTTGGGACGAGAGAATTGTGGCTTTTCAAGAGATCTATACTCCTAAGTGAAATAAATAAGTCACACATGTGTAAATACTGAATAGTTTCCCTGGTGTGAATGATCTGCAATAAAACATAAGATCCTAATAAGATTACTGTCATTTAGAAATGAGAAGAAAGGAGCTAAAGGTGTAGGGAAGGTGGGATGGGTAGGGGAAGGGTAATAAGGGAAAAGAAAAAAATGTGGGATAATGAAAAGATGAAAATAAAGTGTTTGTAGATGGGGAGGGGAGGAGGGGGTGAAGGGAGGGCAGGAGTAAGGGGAAAAAATGAGAATCAAGACTTGTCATGTAGAGGTGCAAGATCCCAACAATGAATGTAACTGTACTGTATCCCTAAAATGTACCAATAAACTCAATTAAACCTGAAAAAAAAAAAGATCTCAGCTGCTGCTGGTCCTTCCTCCTCCTGTCCACCCTTCCTTTGGCTAATAAGCTTTCTATTTTATAATGCTTTTCGAAAATTTGTGAAGACTGTACAGAGAGTTTGCATATACTCCCCAGTTCTACTTTTACCATCTGCCAAAGGAAAAAAAAATATTCAATGGTATTTGTTAAAGCTTGGTAAAGAAGACTTTATTCAGGGCTATTGCAAAAGCTACAGGGTTGTAGTTTTGCAGTACAAGAGACTGGGCCTACCTCCAAGTACAGCAGGAGCAAGTGGGAATTTGTAGCCAAGAAGCAGGATTGGGTCAGTGATGGAAAATTACAAAGAGGCAACAAGATTTAAACTAAACCAGCCTAACAAGATCTTTTTTCTGAAGACGGGGCAGGATGGTCAATTGCTACCTGGGGGATAGTGGAAGATGGGAGAAGAATTAGACATAGAAGTTATTAGATGTGGAGGGTGGGTGGTCCTTGCTGAAATACACAGACTTAGCAGAGATTGATGAAGCTGGATTTCTGAAGAAAGTGCACATACAGTCACGGGAGAAGTTTAGAAGCCTGACGGAAGATTGGCTAAGGCAACTGTCAAATTTTACATGATTAGTATATCTGTCATACTAATGAACAGATATTGACTTTTCAACAACAGTTCCTTCATCGTTCATATTTTTTGGACAATCTTAATGGCATTTCTAAAGGCATTGGTAGGCCAGTGTCCTTTTGCGGCTTGCGGAAGTCATCCGCATACCACCTGACATCAGGGTTCCTGGCTCCTGAGGCTCCTCTGCTCTGTGAGAGTTTCTTGGCAACTTGGGGCAGTGTACTTTGTGCAGTGTCCTTTGGGCCTTTCTGGTTTTCTTTTCCATGGTTAGACTAGAGTTATGGAACTTTGGAAGGAAGACTGCTCTTACTGATGTTTGAAGCCCTAAAATCACAGGAGACCCAGAAAGAAAATGTATTACTTTATCAAAATGGCATAGTTTGGGGTCTTCATTGGAATTTGGGGAGACATTGGAAAAACAACAATCACTCTATGTTGTAAGTAAAGGCCAATGTGACCAACTGTTTGGGCAAAGGTGAAAGATCTCACAATGAAGCAACCAGTGTCACGAAGAATTAGTAAATGACCAATGTCACTACAGCAAAATAAATTAACCAGCGAGGACATGAAAACATGCTCAACCTCATATTAAAGATTGCAAAAGAACTGGAATACTAGGATGCTTTATACTTTCTGACTGACAAAAAATTTTTTTGAAATGTCAAAGGTTAAAATGTATATTGCAGAGTGATGAAATGTGAAACAGTCTATAACATAAACAACACCAATGCATCTCACCCACAAAAAGTTACTTTAAAGAAGTCAGGCTCAAGAGAGAGCATGCAATACAGTTCCCTTTAGACAAAGTCCTAAAAGACCCAGCACTACTCAAAACCGAAGTACAGATGATCGTTTTCCTCCAACATGGATGGGCTCGAGGGGGAATTTCCAGGGAGCAGGCAATGTTCCATTTGCTGAACTGCGTTGACTACACTGCTGATACATCTTGGTGAAAATTCATCACCTTTATGATTTGTGTGTTTTTCCTCCTCTGTTATACCTCAGTCATCATCAGACAGGTAATGCTACATTTTTGTAACTGAAGGTAAACAGGCAGACGAGTGAGTAAGACTATAAACTGGAATTTTTTAAATGGTGAACAATTGATAAAATTTGTATTAAGTCGCCAACACCTATTGTCCCAGACATTCCTCATCAAGAAAGTTCAGCTACAGGGGCCAGGGATTTAGCTCAGTGGTTCCACCACCTGCCTCGCAAGCCCAAGGTCCTGAGTTCGATCCCTAGTACCAAAAAAAAAAAAAAAAA